CTCTTTGACCTCTTTTTCCACTCTGGGATAGGTGGTTTTACTGATCATCATCTTCACAACCTGGACAGCACCACTCATGCAGCTGAAATTAAACAGGTTTAACAACTGTAGAATAAGAACAGGAGTTATTTAAGGATACTGTTTGTACTTTAGTGCATTAGACCACGTATCTTGCCAGTCTCCTCTAGCTGTTAAAAATAAATGCTGAAATACACTTTCTTAATACAACCCAGAAGAAGAATCTCTTACTTCATGACCTGCATCTGCTGCCCTGGAAATAGCTGCTACGTAATCTTGGGGGTCCAGTACAACAATTCATTTTCAAGAAGAAAGGCAGGAAGATTGTCTTCAAATGGAGGACTGAATCAAGAGTTAATTTTTCCAGACTGTCACTGCTGATAAAATCAGGTTTTCAATTACAATGCTTAGCACAGAATAGTCTGCCCAGGCAAACCTATGTTCCAATGCTGCCAAGCGATATATGCTCAGCACAGCATTTGTCAAACCATTTCCTCTGCTAAGAGTTAATGTGTCAGTCTTTAAAATGGCTTGCTCTTCTACCACCTTTCCTGATGGAAAGGTGAAAAGTGCAACTTACTACCTTTCACAAAATACCTTGTTGAGACTCTTGACTCCAAACTGACTGCCTCATGGGGAAAAACTGCTTTCTAGAAACCTAAAAAACAGTGACTGTTCTATCATAATTCTGCCTCACTGGAATAAGGAGGTCAAGCAGGGAGACAACAATCATTAAATAAAGTGTTAAAAGGTGATTGCAGCGTTAACAGCAGCTTAAACAGGCTAGAAATCCAGATGCTATTTTAAGGACTCAGGACCCAGCAAATTATTTTGTTTTATTTGAGATTACACTATCAGTTGATGATGACTGCAAGACTTTGCTGTGATAAAAGCAAAATCACTACACTTTTTTGTTACAAGAACCACCAGGCAAAGGGCAAGTTTTACATGCAGATTGATCAGGAACATGCGACTGATGCCAGAAATGTACCCAAAGAGAGGCTTTCTGGATTAACTGTACTGTAAATGCCAGTAACCAAACCCACTCGGTGGTACCAACTGCACCTCTCAGCTTTATCTCATCTTAATAAATCCCTAATTACCTTACACTGATCCTGAGGAGCATCACAGTATTTCCTTTCTTCATAGGAGCTTATTCACTATTTTCTTTCAAACATACATGTCTGTTTGCACTTGTCTAAGTACACTGTAAACACTAAAACGTACAATACCTCATCTCTTCATCAGTACCTTAGAAGAGATCTTTTGAGAATATGTTTACAACATAAAGGTCACTTGAAAGTTAACTAAAGGCATGAATAAAAAATAAAACATTTAGTCAAGCCCTTTGAGAAGATGATGTTGTCATTACCCTTTACTGTTTGAGTAAGTTCTTCAACTGCTTTTCAACACCATCGTGACACCACATGGGGAGTTTAATGGCAGCTCCTGAGTATATATAGAATCAAAGCCAATACTCAGCTTACTAACTTAACTTTCAGAAAGTTAGCACAGCAGTCAGAGATTAAGAATCATTATATACTTGGCAAACTGACCTATTTCCAAATGATGCAGTCACAGGATGACATGTACAGTGGGCGTATTTTAGCCAACAAAAGCAGCAAAGTGCCAAGAGCTGCTGAATTTCCTGTTAAGAATTAAGAGCCCCTCCACACACATTTTATGCCACAATATATGGCCCATCTTTTTGTCAGCACATGTCTTCCTTGAAAAATGAGGGTTGAAAAAAAATCACCTGGCATCATTTCTCATGAAAGGTAAGGAAATTAAAGGAAATGAAAGAAACTACAAAGTAAGAAGAGCTGATCTGAGGCTCCTGTTGGCTAACACGCTTCTAAGTAAAGTGCAATTCCAGTTATATTCTTGGTGCATGAGTAAAAGAGGAGTGTAAAAATGTAGAAGTATGTGAGACAAATGACATTTTATCTTTAGATATAATCATCCCTTATAGGTGTCATCCCTACTTGTCAATTAATCACTAGAGCATGAATATCCCAAGACAAAGCTAAAAATGGAGTCTAATTTTTCACTATATATGACTGAAACAGCCAGTACATTTCACAGAGGAAAGAAGAGGTTTGTGATCTGTTTGGTAGTTGCTTCACAAGGGCAACCTCACAGAATCCAAATGGAAATCTCTGACATTGACTGCTGCATATAGTTACAGCTTGTGCCAGCCATCAGTAGAACTATGAAGGTTTAGTAACATGACTGCAAGTGAGCACACTGCCAAGACTTACTGAGTTACCACTTTCTGGCTAAGATAACAGCAACTGAGTAAATATGATGTTCTAGTCATTGCAAACACAAATTAAAATGTATTAGCATAAACCATTTTGTGAAATGTAACTTGCTAAGCCCCTGAAACTTGGCATGTGTGATTGTATGAGTATACCCTCTCTCTTAGCTAGTACAGACTACACTAGACACGTAAACAAAGTAAAATCAGTAATTCCAGCAAATGCAATGGGCACAAGGAAACAATTACTATCTTTGGAGCTCAAAATCCATCTACTATATAGATGCACAGCTCCTGGTTTATGAAAGTCCATATCTTCCAGTACCTGAAAGTAAACTTACTGATCTGATTGTCAGCTGCTACCGTATGCAAGCTGTTCTCTCTTCTCAGTGTTGCAAGTGAAGTCATCTAATCAGCAATTTATCCAATCATCTATTTAACTGTAGTGCTTTGTCTCAGAGTAAAAGTTAAGCTCTGTGGGTCTACCAAATGTTGAAAATTAATTTTTAAATTTTTCTTTTGTGTGAATGGATCAAAAAAACTCTCAAGAGATCAATTTTACTTAGATATCTAGAGATGAAATTACTACATTCACATCTCAACCTTGCCACTTGCCCAATGAGAAAAAAGACACACTACCTGGATGTAGGCTCTGAAAGCAAAAGAAAGTTGCAGGTCTATAGCTGTTAGCAGGGAAATAAAATAAAAAAAAAAAAAAAAAAAATCAAGATTTCATCACAAAAAGGAATTTTCATTTCTTCTGTATTCACAGCTTTTGTGCACAATAATGCCACTAGACCTGTTACTTAGATTATGCCATTGCTTATGAGTTTTAACACCTAAAATCAAATGCAAACAGGAAAATGCATATAGCAGGTGGCATCCAAGTAATTCTCAGATCACATATTTAAAGAAAACTGGAAATAAAAAGGACAATCTTTTTTCAGCATGAAATCCACACTCTATTTATAGCATGTGAAACAAGTACAGTCAAGAATCAAAAAGAAGTTGCTACTGGGATCCTAACAAAATTATACAAATATTTTAAATTTATTGTTTAAATATAAAATATTTATATCCTGAAAGTCAGGAAAAAAACCAAACAAAACCTCAAAACAAAAAACCCTATCATCTAATTATTAACATCTGCATGCATTTGGTTTTCATCACTGATCTTTGAAAATAATGTCATTTTAACTGAATGAGCTTGTAAGATTGAAGTAGAGGCCATGAATGAGCTATGAAAAGATTCTTCAATTTTGTTTTTTTCCCCATTAATGTCTACAGTCGGATTTTGCTTACACTGTTAACTACAAAGGCTTCAAATATTTACTGTGGACAAAATGAAAATCAGCCCATTAGCCAACAAAACACTGTTACACCTCAGCAAAGAACAAGACAGCAAACATAATATGGCTAATTTAAACCAAAGAACAATAGTGGAGCAAGTGATGAATTACAGAATCTTTAATGTCAATTTTGATTGCACAAGGAAAGTTGCCAGAGGAGTTTAATATATTCATAGTTATAATCCCCCCCCCCCATTACAGATACATAACAACAGCCCCTACTCAACCAAACTGAGCGTGAGCCAAATTCACAAAACTGCACTTCAATCCTTGAAACTTGGCTGTCCTCATGGTGGCTGCCCAGAGTGGTGAGAAGTGCATGAAGGTTCCTAAACTACACTGCTCAGCAAACAAACAAAACTGATGACAAAAAAAATATTACAAACCATCAAGAGACCTGGACACAGCTACAGAATGAACTGTGGAGAAGGGATGGTCTAAGGAGATAGCTGGTTTCCTACGCCATGTCTGTAGTACTTAGTACTACTGGAAGAAGGGTGTTGCAACCTACTTAAATCTATGAATAAATCTATCTTGAGAACACATATTACAGCATAAATATCAGGACACTTCTGAGACACACAATTCTTGTAACCACCCTCCCATCTGTGATCCTTTTCACTCAAATTCTGTAAATGAAGAACAGTCTACAAAAGCCATTGCTGGATCATTTAATTTCATGCACTGCTTCTAGGAAGACAGCATCAAGGTTATTGCCAGATACATAAAAGCAACTTCCTATCTGAAGTTTTACTGTCGACTGGTAACATGGAAATTTTTACTAAAAAGAAATATTTCAGTTCAGTCAGTCAATGATTAAAGACATAATTTCCTAAATAAATGCTTAGCACTTGTACATAGAATTTTGAATTAAAATAAAGAAGTCCAACTGTGAGAGGTATTTTTTTCCAGTTACATTGCTGAAGAAAACACTAGTACCTATTTCGAATTACTGGGGTTGTAGACTTCTGTAAACCCACCCAGACTGAACAAGGTTTGAATTCTGGACACATCCATAACAACCTGCATCCAGAAACATTTACAAATATCTATTTCAACTTAAAATTAGTACTTGTCAAAGGCTTATCATGATTGCTCTTTTACATCTCTTATGTTGCTTAACAGCTCTTGGAAACGAACAACAAATGCAGGACAACATCAAATAGTCTCTGTGCTTTCCAAACATGTCTATATCTTTATTTACCTTCTTGTCAGCAAAATTCCCTAATATAAATGGACAGGTTTGCATATTTACCCTGAACACCAAGCTACTGCACAAATTATGAAAGAAGGGTACAGCTGGTAACACTCTGTCAAACACACTACAGGAAAAAAACCAACAACACGGACACAGCATATAAGTGAATACTTACTATTTATATGTTTCTGAACGTATGTATTCAAAAACATGAGATACGCCCAGCTGGAACTGGTCAGCAATAGGGGTAACCCAAGGATTGTTCTCTGCTTTGAAGACTTGCTTTTGACCAGTCAAATCCAAATTACCTGGAAGGGATTAAACAAAACAGCATATGGAAGAAAGTGTGAAATATGGAATATTTAAAAGAAATATCCTACTGTGAATAGAAAACTTTTCATTTGCTTCAGAGTACAACCATAATAAAAGCAAATATTTAATAAAAGCAAATATTTCAGTCTTAGTGGAGAGGAAGAGGATGACATAACAGTTCCCACCATGACGGATGCAATTCTGGCCTACTAATTTCAGTGCTACCACATATTGCTCAACAGGATTGAACTCAGCCCAGTACATAGAGTATTTATCCATTAAATTAGTTTTAAGCAGGGCTTAACAGTGCATAGGTTTTGGGCCCTCCCCACAACTTGCAAGAGTGAAAGGAGAATGACAATAGGACAGGAGCTTGCTCTGCCGAAGCTCAGCATTCAAAGCATTTGTTGATCACTGTTCCAAGCACCATGTCAACAAGCAAAGCCCAATACGCCTTTTGCCTTCCCAGTAGCCAGCATGTTGTTTGCACTGAGACCCCATCACTCATCTGTGGTTATAGTTCTCTATATTGTGAAAAACAAACAAAAAGTGTCATTCTTGCAACATGCCGGTTTTAAGTCCTCCTGCCAGCTGAATAGGTAAGATACCTATCAGGGGTTTTCTTGGGGATTTTTTTGTTCGTTTTGTAAATGTTTACCACCCATAAACAATACTGTACATGCTCTGCTGAAACTCCTCATGACTATGGATACGACAGGCTGAATTCCAGGACCATCCAGCCATTGACATAATTTCTTGAGCTCTTTCAATCAAAATAAGAAATCTGTGCTACATTTTACATTTATTTTTGTGAATTTTATGACGAAGAGAGGCCTACCCCCCCCCCCCCCCCCCCCAGCATTCTAAAGAAACAAAAAATAAATCTTTAGCTATGGGAAACAAAAGACAAAATTGCAAGGTTTTGAAGACTGACTGAGTCAAGCTGTCAGAGAAATCTGAAATCAACCTGCTGTGCTAGCTTTTAAAAACTAAAGGCACTTGTGTAAGCTGCATGAACACGCATGCTATGGGAGCTACTGCAAGCTGTGTGCTTGCTGGCCATTTCAGTTGCATGTTCCACATTACAGCTAATTCTTGACGTGCTGCTCTCCATAAAAAGGGTTAACACAATTAGTGTACAGACAGACCATTATACCGCGTGAGAAGTTGTCATGCATCTCATATCGGCCTATCAACAAGTTACCATTACCTCAGCACACTCGTCTGTCAGCTGTCTGGGGCCTGTTCTTTTGAAATAACAACAGGCAGGGAGCACTTCACCCCTCTGTCAGTCAGACAGCAATTGCCCTCGCTGCCTCATGCTTCAGTGCGCCTCGTTAGGAGCCTTGCACCCATCTCCTTTATTAAGGGACTTGGCAGCCCTGTTCTAACAAGGATCAGGAAGGAGGATTAAGTACTATGACAAAGAGGACCTAATAAGCTAGAAACTGGTGTGTCTAAATCTATGCTGGCTCAAGGCGCAGGCTCACACTGCTCGCTATTCAGTTTTCAGGCACAGGCCACCAGGGAAGCAAGCCGGCACTGTGATTAGCCATAACCCCCTGACCAGTGCTGCTATGAAGACCATGTATCACTCAGGGGCTTGCTTTGCAATTGCAAATTGGATTTTCCATTTTATTACCTGCAAAAACCCCACATACATTGCTTTCCACGACTACTGACGCTGTAAGCACTCGCTTGTAATTACAGCTCTGCAAATACTGCGTCAAGGTAAACTGATCAATCTGTGTACAACTAACAACAACAGTTAAATTTGCGGAGGCAAGCAGGGCCGCATCATGGGTCAAATTTAATACTGTTTACAGGAATAAGTCACAATTCCCAAAATCTCAATAGTCAGGGTCTCAGATGAATCCTCTCATCCTGAGCTGTGTCCAGAATGTACCACCCAGGGAACACTGCTGTGTTTCCATTGCCATGGCATGGTGAGCCCACTTCCATTCCACATACCACATGGCCCATTAAAACATCATTAATTGTAATAAATACTATTCTATTATTGCCAAAGAAATCTTACAGCAAAAAGAGGACTTCTCAAGCAAAATGAACCGTAGGTGCCTATGCTAAAGTAATCACTTCATTTCCCGGTTTTCCCCAAAGCACACTGCAGACAGGTACAGATATTACTTTTTACCTTTAGAGAGAAGAGGCAGGCAGAGGCCCTTAGAGTAAAATTAACCTAATTACAGAGGGAATTGGGGCTGGCTGTAGGACATTCAGAAGTACCAAGTCCTGGTAACATCTCAGAAACAGTATGTGCTGGGGTAACCAAACACGAGATCCCTGCATGAGCATTTCTATCCCAGTGCACCAAGACAATGCCAGCAGCATGGAAGAGATACTCAAACATGCCTGAAGCAATGGCTGGTACTAGGCTCACCGGAGGAGTGCTATATATCGACACCTTACAGATGTGTCCCTCCCCACCTCCAACTGCCTCCTGGCCTAAGATGTTTTTTATGGCAGCACTGCGCTAAGACATTCTGTTATTCCATCCCTGCAGCACTGGAGCCACGGGCCAGGGAAAAAGCCATGGCAGATGCGCCTTCATGCATATTGTCTAACAGCAACATCAGCAGAACACTATCCTCAGGGCTTTAGGAAATTTATATACTGTTCTGCTACACAGATCACATCAAATCCCTTGGATATTTTTAGTAAGCAAAATATAAAATTGCCTCTAGTAAAAATCCAGTACTGAAGATTCAATCACAAAATATATTAGGGTTGGAGATTACATTGGTCATTGCCGATTCATTCTTTCCATACACATCAGCCTATTAAAAAACCATTTATTATCTCTAAAATTTGGCATAACTAGTGGACTAAAATTGTATATCTTCATAACAGATTTAAGGATCCTGCTATTTTGCCAAACTGAAAGAGGTTACCTCTTACGCATTAACTATCAGAAGCCTCTGGTAAGAGGGGAGGAGAAGGCTGTATTTAAGACTAATCAGCACAGCCCCTTTCCTAGATCACAGAAATGTTTTTCAGATTATTTTTGGGTGCTTCTAAAATTCTTCTCATAAATAAACAAATAAATAATAAGAACTACATAGCCCAGAACCCAGGTTTAACATGCTTAAATAATCTTCTAATTTCTAAGCTTGAAGAGTATGTTTTTTTAAGCTTTCTATCTTGAACAGATTTTCAAGGAGGAAGAATGCAAAATGGACATATGCTGCAACCAGTGAGCAGACACATAAAAGAGAACAGAGTCCAGAAAAGAGCAGAGATAAAGGTGTAACAGCAGATTGCTGTGGACAGCCTGCATAGAATGACCAAAAGCCTAAAAGGAGCCAGCTGTGTGGTCCTAGAAATACCTGGTCTTGGCATTTTTGTTCCTGTCTCAGCAGCCATTGTCTCTAAAGGTGATCCTGTACCATTAAGTCTGACAGATCAGTGTGACTGACCTTCTGTGTTTAACCCATCTTAAAAACAAATTGTTCCTCCTTAAATTCAGAGCTTGAACAGCCATGGGTGGACAGAAGGGACACCTGGTGTGACAGTGCACACATCCTGCGTGATGTTAAAGGGAAAAGGCAGCTAGAGATTCACTGCACCTCTGTCAGTAAATCTTCCCTGCATTTGAGCTAAAGCATGATAGTTTATGTTTCTTGTTATTTTCTTTCAGTGCTGTTAAAATAAAAAGTGGTTTGTGTGAACATTCATATTTTGCTCAACTGCCTGTAAAGGTCAAAAAAGAGCTCATAAAAGTGAATAAAATGCTGCCTCCTGCAGTTGTGCTTGCATAAAGTGTCAGAGCCAGTGATAATGCTACCTATCATTTTGACCATGGGTGTCTCTCCAGACTTCCCAGGCTTCTGTCCATTTGATACTCACCTCTTACATGAGGTAAGTACCTCTTACAGCTAGCTATAAGCCCTTCATCCTCCTGTGATGCATGATATATGGAACATGTAATATTTACCCAATGTATGTATACTTAAGGTATAGTAAGGTATGAATAGTGTACATAAGCATTACTTCAATACAAACAAAAGAAACCAGAATGAACATAAACCTGACTTGCCCTTTCCACTTGAATGCCCTTTGGCAACACTTTAAATACTTTCAAAAATTAGAAGGTGAAATAAAGTAATTAAACAACTCTGACATTTGAGAACTGAACATTGGCATTCAGCGTAAGAAACATGATCCTAGCGGTAAAATGCCAGATCAACGATTCTTTGTAATGGTTTAAATTCATCCCTAGTGCAGCTTCATTAAAATCAATGGAAATAATTTTTAGCCTGTATATGGTTGAGTTTCACATCTGGGTCTCATTGGTAGTCTGACTTCCAGCCTACACTCCACTGCACTGTCTGAAGGACAGTCCTCCAGCTGTAACACATCCCTTTTAGCAATTCTTCTTAAGACTGCAATTTAAATGTTCTTCGCCTTTACAACACAAAGTTCTTACTCTCTGTCATACATAAGGACAGGAGGAATGAAATTTGTTCTATTTCTTTATTTAGATATAAATACCTTTGAATCCTGTTTTATTAAATGCTAAGTAAGGGTCCAATCCACTACACTAAATTTAAACTTAGGTTATATGTAAAACTACGTCTGTCCTGGCTTGTTTTAGATTTGTTTTACACTACAGGGCTTATTATTTTTATTACTTCTGTGGTATGTGCTTTGTCTCGATAGAGAGACTGGTTTAAGCATGGGAGTAGAAGAAATATCATGACTATTATGTCATAAAAATGATGCCAAAGCAAGTAATTTTGAATGATGTCTTAAAATCAATGATAAAAATGGAAATACATACTATACCACAAAGCGTTACCAAAATCAAATCATTTTTACAACGATCTTAAGCACCTGTAAGCTGTGTGTATTAGTAACATGTATCACTCCTGTAAACAAGATCATCTTGCTTTGAAGACCGCTATTACTTTTGAAGTATTAGTAACAGAAGAGTAGATCTAAACAGTAATTAGCAGTAAGACAACAGAGCGCAAAG